CTTCATCAAGGAGTGCCCTCTCCTAAAGAAAGATCAGCATAAAAACAACTTTGACAAAGCAACCAAGAGGAACTTAGTTCCTGATAAACGCTTCAAGAGAAAGAATGTCGCTGACAATGTTATAAAGCAAGCTCTTGCTACATGGGGAGACTCCTCCAGCGAATCTGAAGAAGAAAATGATCATGGTGATAGTTCAATGATGGTAGTGGAAAGTGAAGCAACTAAGTATGACTCAATCTTTGCCTTGATGGCTCAGTCTGATGATGATGAAGATGACGACGATGATGAGGTAAATTTTTTGGATGTTCAGAGAAATCTAAAATCTTATTCTCCTAAAAAACTCATATATTTGGCAAATGTGTTGATTGATGCTTATCACAGTCTTATAAATGATAAAGATGCTTTAACTGTGGAGTTAGGAGAAGCAGAATAAACCAGAGATGACTTAGTAATCGTTGTTGTTGATTTAAAGGAAATAATTGAGAGCCTGAAGAAAGAGAAGGATGCCTTAGATAAAAAAAATTGCACATATAGAACATGAAAGAGATGATCTAATGGTCATTGTGGTAGACCTAAAAGAGACCCTTGAGTGTGTAAGAAAGGAAAAAAGAAGTCTTAGTTGAGAGAGTTGCTAACATTGATCATGAAAGAGATGACCTATTTGTGGTGGTAGTGGACTTGAAGGAAACAATTGGGGAACCTAAAATGGAGAGTAGGCCTAAAAGTTCTCAAAAAGGAAAGGAAGTTAAAAGTGAGGCACACATTAAGCTTGAAAGTGAGTTAAATTTAGTGAAGTCTAGTCTGTGTGCTGAGCTTGAGAAAAACAAACAACTTCATGAAGAACTAGGAAGAGTGAAGAGTGACCTTGAAAAATTACTCAAGTGGACCTGGTCCTATGATACTATCACTGCCATGTACACCAACAATGGGGGAAACAGGCAGAGGATTGGGTTCCAAAGGGAAAATATTCCCTACAACCCTCATAGCAAGTACGTTACTGTACCTGATAATTGGCTTTGCACTCACTGTGGCAACATTGGGCACTTTAAAGAAAACTGTAAGGCCAGATTTCAGTCACAGCAGAAAAATAAAGTTTTTGCTAAAAAAGTAACTACTGATAGAGAACCTGGTCCCTCATATAAAAAATGCATGATGCCTGCTTGGACCAGAAGATCCCTCATTCACCCTTTTCCTCATTACAAGGGACCCAAATTCGTTTGGGTTCCTAAGTCTAACTCCTGATTTTTTTGTGCATGGAATAATGAAAGGGAGCAGCCTACAATAGTACATGGATAGCGGTTGCTCAAAGCATATGACTGGAAGTTCAAATGATTTTCTTTCACTTAAAGCCTTGCAAGGAGGGAGTGTATCCTTTGGAAATGGCAAGAAAGGTTACATTCTGGGAGTTGGAAGGATTGGGAAGTCTCTCACACTCAATCGAAAATGTATACTACGTGAACCGGTTGAAGTACAACTTGCTAAGTGTTTCCCAGATCTGTGACAAGGGAAACAAGGTGGAATTTGTGTCAAAAATATGTACAGTCACAAACCCAGTGACTGGTGAGGTGGTGCTAGTAGCAAAAAGATACAAAAACATCTATGTTGCTAATTTTGAGTCTCTGCAGAATGGTGATCTCAGCTGTCTAAGTGTTGGTGATGATGATGTTGAATTATGGCATAGGAGGCTGGGTCATGCAAGCTTCACGTTGCTGAACAAATTGGTCAGGAAAGACCTGGTTCGTGGTCTGCCCAAGTCAAGTTTCAAGGATCACAAAGTATGTGATGCATGTGTAAAAGGCAAGCAAGTCAGATCCTCATTCAAGCCCAAAAAGGAAGTCAGTACCTCAAGGCCACTTGACCTTCTTCACATGGATCTATGTGGACCCATGAGGGTGGCAAGTAGGGGAGAAAAGAAATATATCTTCGTTATAGTTGACGATAACTCCAGATTTACCTGGACTCTATTTCTCAGAACTAAGGATGAAACCTTTGAAGTGTCTGTTGCCTTCGTCAAAAGGATTCAAGTGAAGATGGTTAATAATGTAGCTTGCATCAGGTCTGATCATGGGACAGAGATCGACAATGCCAAATATGATGAGTTCTGTACTGAAAATGGTATCACTCACAATTATTTAGCTCCAATAACACCTCAACAAAATGGTGTTGTGGAGAGAAAGAATAGAACTCTTGAAGACATGGCAAGGACAATGTTGATTGACAGTGAGATCATAAAGAATTTCTAGGCAGAAGCTGTCAATACTGCTTGCTACTTGGTGAACAGGTGCATGATCAGGTCCCTTCTGAACAAGACTCCATATGAACTGCTGAATGGAAGGAAGCCCAAGCTGACACATCTAAGGACTTTTGGGTATAAATATTTTGTCCTCAATAATGGAAAGGAAGCTCTTGGAAAATTCGATGCCAAAAGTGATGAAGGAATCTTTCTGGGATACTCATCCCAAAGAAAAGCTTACAAAGTATACAACAAAAGGACTCAATGTGTTGAAGAGAGTATACATGTGATATTTGATGAATCTCACATCTCATGTGAGAAGGACAGACGTGTTGACCAAGATGGAGAACCTTTATCTGTTCCAGATAAAGTTATTGACATGGCAAATGGAAAGACAGACGTGATGAGTCATGTCAAGAAATCCCGTGAAGATGATGCAAATACATCTCCATCCATTGGAGAGGAACCTGGTCCCATGATCACAACAATTGAAGCTGAAAATAGAGTTGCCGATGCAGTCCAAGGTACTCCATTTGCTGAAGTAAGAAGCGGCGAATAACCTTAGTATGGCACCTAGTTCCTAGACCCGCAAGAGGAGCTTCATCAATTTGAAAGAAACAAGGTATGGCACCTAGTTCCTAGACCCGCAGATCGAACTATCATAGGGACCAGGTGGGTATTCAGGAAAAAACTTGATGAGTTTGGAAATACAACAAGAAACAAGGCTTGTAGTTCAAGGCTACAATCAGAAAGAAGGGATTGATTATGATGAAACATTTTCTCCAGTTGCTCGAATGGAAGCTATCAGAATTCTTATTGCCTTTGCATCTCATATGGAATTATTCCAAATGGATGTCAAAAGTGCATTTTTGAATAGTATTCTGAAAGAAGAAGTTTATGTCAAGCAGCCTCCTGGATTTGAGTGTCATGAGCATCCTGAGCATGTGTTCAAGCTGGACAAGGCATTGTATGGACTAAAGCAGGCTTCCCGGGCTTGGTATAAAAGGTTATCAAAGTTCCTTCTAGAAAATGGCTTCACAAAAGGAAAAATTGACAACACTCTTTTTCTGAAGAAACGAGGGAGGAAGCTGCTCATTGTTCAAGTATATGTTGATGATATTATTTTTGGAGCCACAACTGACTCTATTTGTGAAGAGTTTGCAAAACTCACGGGGAGCGAGTTCGAGATGAGTATGATGGGAGAATTAAATTTCTTTTTGGGACTTCAAGTGAAGCAATCTAAAAGGGGAACATTAATAAGTTAGCAGAAGTACATCAAGGAGTTGGTGAAAAGGTTTTACATGGAAGCATCTAAAGTTATTGACACTCCCATTGCCACAGCTACGTGTCTAGACATGGATGAACCTGGTTCCCCTATAAATCAGACCATGTATAGAGGCATCATAGGATCATTCTTGTATCTCACTACAAGCAGACCAGACATTGTGTTCAACGTGGGTCTCTGTGCAAGGTTCCAATCAAATCCAAAGGAGTCTCACCTGAAGGCTGCTAAAAGAATATTGAGATATCCTGGTTCTCTACTATCCCTCAGGTGAGAACTTTGATCTCATTGGGTATGCTGATGCTGATTATGCAGGATATCTGGTGGACAGGAAAAGCACGTCTGGAATGGCACATTTTCTGGGTTCTTGTCTCATCTCATGGGGTACAAGGAAGCAAAACTCAGTGGCACTCTCAACTGCTGAATCAGAATATGTAGCAGCTGCTTCTTGCTGTGCTCAATTGTTGTAGATCAAGCAGCAGTTGGAGGACTTTGGAGTGTACTCAGATTGTGTACCTCTCTTGTGTAACAATACAAGTGCACTGAAGATGGCCAAAAATCCAGTCCAACACAAGAGGACCAAGCACATTGATGTACGTCATCACTTCCTCAGAGATAATGTTGAAAAAGGGCTCATATGTATGAAGTTTTGCAGCACTGAGGATCAGATTGCAAACATCTTCACCAAAGCCCTGAGCAGAGAATATTTTGAAAGAAATCGCCTGGCACTGGGGTTGATAAAACCCAACTAATGAACCTAGTTTCCCAATGACTGATTATGAAAGAAAGTACAGGTAAAATTAGCTAAAAGTGTTTTCTGGCAAAGTCTAGCTCATTTCTATACCGTTACAAATAGAAACGCATGATGATTACAGAGTAGTTGATGCAGTGCATGCTGGTAAAAGGGGTTAAGCTTACATTTGCAAAACTTGTCAAGGAACCTGGTTCTCCTGACACAAGTTAGTAGCTTCTTTATTTTCTCATACACAATTTAGAACGGATAAAAACAATGCCACATCATCAGTGTATCAGTCTCTTTACCTTGTGTCTTTTGAACCAAAATGTCTCACTTGTTACTGAACGACCCGACTCCCAAAATAAAACTACTGCCTTTTCTTAACCGGTCCCTCTTCTCTCATAAATGCATCTATCAAGGTCACAACTCCTCACATCAAACTTCAAACTCTTCACTTCCCCTTCTCTCTTCTCAAACCACTAATCTCTCTAGTAAACTCCATCATGACTGCGAATCAAGAAAACTCTGATGCTCTCAACAATACCCCCAATCAAGTCCACACCAGTCGAAACGCCAAAAGTAGACTCCTCGACAAACACCACCACCAGTCCAAACCCTAGAGCAGAGTCTCCCCCACACTTAGTCTCCTCACCTACCCACTGGTTCTCATCGGAGTCGCAAAACCTCGACTCCGAAAATGTTTGTGGCTACCAGCTCTCCTCTAGTCTCGCCGGTAAAACAGAGTAAACATGGTGAATAGGGTAACCTATTCCAAGAGGGAAATCAGGAAACATTTAATTAATCCTACTCCTTCTCCCCATTTCTATGCCGAACCCCTGTCTATGGTGGTGCCTAAGATGCGTTCTGATAGCAAAGAAGATTTGGATGATATGGTGATTGCTAGATTTTTAGGGCTAGGAGTAAGACAGTTGCAACTCCAGAGCCAACACCTAAGCGACCTACTGCACGGTTGTAGAAAAAGGAGGCTCTAGAGTTTGCTTTCAAGAAAAGTCAAAGGGGTCAAAGAAGGAGAAAGTTGGTAAATGATGAAAAGTTATACATGAAAATGCCGTTCCTGTTGTTAATGTAGATGAGGAAGCAGAAGAGGAACCTAGTTCCTTGAGTCACAAGCCCTCGAGGCAGAAGCACTCTCTCTCTCAATCCAAAAGAAATACTTCTACCAGTGTTGAGAGTCCAACCAAGAGTGCTGATGCTGTTTCTAGTGAAAAGTTTATGGAGAAATATGGTGATAAGACAGTGAAAGAGAATGGTGGAAAGTCTGATGGTGAAGAATTGGAAAATTCTGGTGAAAATGTGCATGAAAAGTCAGTGGAGAAGGGAAAGTCTATTCGCAAGTCAATGAAAAGAAAGTGGATGATGATGAGGAACCCGATTCCTCCAAGAAACCAAAAATTGAAGTGTCTGAGTTCTGGGAAAGAGAAGTTGAGAAATCAGAAGGTGTTGTGGGGCCGCACATTTATCCCTGACATTGTGGAGCTTGCTGGGATGAGACAATTAGTGGAGATTTGTGATTTCCAACAGTGGACTCATTTGTTTACAAATGATGTTCCAAAAGTATATGAGGAGGAGGTGCGGAGTTTTTATGCCAACCTCTTCACAGTTGAAGATGATCACATCTGTGTGTTGGTAAATGGGGTGGACATAGTGATAGACTCTGCCGTGTTAGGGTTATTTTTGGGTGTTCCTGCTGAGGGATTGTCGTCTGTTTAGGGTGCCTGCTCGTCCAATTTTAGAAATGACGCTGTCAAGGACAAGGCAATCCAGCAGGGGGAACGGGTGCATAAGAAGACACTCCTTCCAGTATATCATATGCTTTTTGAGATGGTTAACAAAGTGTTGCTTCCCCGCGCTGAAAGGAGATCTATTACGTCAAAAGTTGACCTGGTCCTTATGAAAGCCTTGGATGGTTTTACCACCATCAATCTACCTGGGATAATGATTGAGCATATGCAAAAAGTGGCAGACTTTAAGGATGGCAACCATGGGCTACCTTATGGGTTTCTTCTCACAAAGGTTTTTGAGTTCTTCAAAGTGCCTCTAGGACAGGCCAAAGTGGGCACTAAAAAGCAAACCTTCTCCAAGACCACTCTTGAGGAGTGTGAGTGTATTGACAAGGACGGAGGAGTTGGAAGTACCTGTACTATCTCTCAACTGATAAATGCTCAGAATAGTGCCACAGAGGAGATCCAAAAGTTGAAGGCAAGGAACGCGATTCTTGAGAGTCAGCTCAGTCAGCTACAAGAGGTACCAGGTTCCGGTAGTTCTCCCAACTCAGAGGTTGCCCGCCTGACACAGGAGAACGCTGAGCTCAGGAAACGGGTGGAGGACCTGAAATAAAGACTGCTCAATGAGCAAATGTCCGCAAATGCTCGCATGGATCTTGTCCTCAAAACCCTTGCCCCCGCCTCGAAGCCCTCTTCCTCCAGTGCCCCATAAGCAGTGTCACCTTCAGTGTCCAGTTTCCAGTGTCATCTTATGAATATCTCGGCTGATGCCTTTTTGTTGTTGGTACTTGTTTTTGTTTTTGTTTTGGAATTGTGGATGGTAACATTGAATCTGCTCCCGTTTGTAAAATCCAAATTGTTTTATGGACGCTTTCCCCCTTTTGCCGTGTATGATATTGTTTCTTTGTCTCTGTTTTCTATCATGTTTGTGTGTACACAAGTGGCATGAGTTAATCACGCTAGACTTCTTTATGCAACTTACTTCGTATTCTTATTTTTATGATGCCAAAAGGGGGAATGTTTTTGCATAATTGAATAATGGTGTGTGCACTGATTAAGGGGGAATACAGATTCAGGGGGAACTAAATGGGGGGAACTAAATGGCCGTCCTATTTCTGGTCTTTGTGGCTCTTCATAGGAATTTCAATTATAAGTTTGTCATCATCAAAAAGGGAAAAATTGATAGGTTATAAGTACCTTTGTTTTAAGTTTTGATGATCTAACAAACTTAAGTGAAGAACCAGATAAGGAACCTGATCCACATTGGTCCACATTCCCAAGCGCATGAAAATAACCAGACTTAAGCTGGAGATGTTCGTCAGTACCTCAGAAGTTAAAGAATTAACAAGGGAAACATATGATCTTCAGTTCCCCTGGTGATTGTACTAAGTCAACTCTCCACAGCTGGAAAGTGACTGACTGCACATGCAACAGTACAACACAGTGCAACAGTCACCTCCATTGGGAAGGACCTTGTACCAAAGTTGCTTACATCATTCAAGTGATGTCATCAATATTATATTAACATTAAACCAAAGACAAAACATCACTTGAATACTTAGAGAATTTACTCAAGCACTCCAACAGTGATTAAGCCTCCAGTCAACAATTCTCAAGTGCATCAAGAACAAAGAACAACACGGCTACAGACCAGTTCCCATATCAAGTGATTGTATGTCCTTAGTTGAGTTGTAACTTTATTAAAGTTCTCAATTGTAATTCCTACTTGGCTTGTTTAGAAGCATTGTGTAGGAAACCCTTTGTAAATCATAAACTCTTGTGTTTGTATCTTGGCTAGAGTTAGTCGAGTTGTAAAGTCTTTGTAATAGAGTTATTACAAAGTGGCTTGTAATAGAGTATTACAAGTTAGTGAGAGATTAAGAGGTTAATTCCTACGTTACTTAGGTTGTAATCTGAAAGTTGCTCGGTAGTGAAGTTGAAATCCTATAAGGGTAGGTCGTGGTTTTTAATCCCGTTGAGCTGGAAATTTTTCACGTAAAATTCCTCCTGTCATTTATTTATTGTAGTGTGCGTGGTTTGTATGGGAACTTATAGAGAACCTGGTTCTCTATATAGTTTGGTGGACCACTAAATTTTATCAATGTTGTAATGTTTCTTCAAATGGTTTTTGAATACAGATCTCTTGGTTCAGTTTAAGAAGATGTCGTATACCCTAAAGAATCATTATCATACACAACATAGCGCACCACCAATATGCGTTATGTGTATTGTCTTGTCAACCTGCAAAAGCTGCCGTTCTGGAAAAGCTGTCTTGTACCCTAAAGAATCATTATCACGCACAACATAGCGCACTACCAATATGCGTTATATGTATTATCTTGTCGACCTGAAAAAGCTGTCGTTCTGGAAAAGTTGTCTTGTACCCTAAAGAATCATTACCACGCGAAACATAGCGCACCACCAATATGCGTTATGTGTATTGTCTTGTCGGCCTGAAAAAGCTGTCGTTCTAGAAAAGATGTCTTGTACCCTAAAGAATCATTATCACGCGTAATTTAACGCGCCACCAATATGCGTTATGTGTATTTGCTGCCTATAAAAGCCTAGCACATTTTAGTTATTATTTACGCTTAATGAAACAAATAGGAAAACTTTCCATTAATTTTTTATTTTTCTTGCATTACGAAATATCTAGACGCAATGACGTACCAAAGTGTTATTGTGGCAAACCTGCGATTTTGAAGCCATGTTAGTCAAATTGCAATTTGGGGCGCAGACGCTGGATCTATCACAACTTGTAAGTGATTATTTTGGAAAAAATATTAGTTAATATTTTTTTTTTATAACTTGTTAATTAATAGTGTTGTGTTATAATCCCCATTGGTAGGACGAAAATCAATGTAGATTTCAAGAATGGTATGATAAACCCATTAACCAGGAAAACTACAAATCATATTTATACTATATTTGGAATATGACCGGTGAATACGAACTCCAGATCTTTAAACTACAACAATAACTTGCGGTAGTGAAGGAGAAAATAAAAGAGGCAGAAGAAGAAAAAAATAGACTGGAAGAGAAATTTAAGTGGTTGAAGCACAGATTAATGGGCGATAGTGATTAAACAAACACATGGATGTGTTGAGTTTAGTATTTTATCTTTATGTTTTACGTGTCATGTATTATCATTAATTGTACCGAATTTAAATTATGTTAAGTTGTCGTTTTTTTTGTGTTGTAGTATTAAACTAATAAATAACCCTAGAAATAAAAATACATGCATAAATTATGTAAAACATAAATAATGTTGCTATTATATATTTAATGTCATATATACAAATAACAATAAATGCTAATGTGTTCCACAACCCGTATGCTTTAAAGCATTGGCTGGCCTGAGGTACATCCCATCCCGCCCGGCTACGCTATCAGAATCATCCTCATCACGTCGCCTCTTTATCAGAGGATGCGCTGCAGCATGATCGTCGGTAAGGCTGGCAGACTCGATAGAAGCGGACATCGGTCCAGCAGTAACCTATAGAATAATAAGATATTTTAGTATATGAAATATAAATTACTAACGTACGTATATGCTAAAATTTTTTAATGGTCATACCATGGTCTTGGTGGGCTTCTGAATAAAATCATCCGTCTCCGGCATGTCAGTATCGCACAAAGTGGCCTCCGTGACGGGCGATGATGATGTCTTTAAAAAAATAAAAATGCTTTAGATACTGATGACTAATCAATGAGATAAAAATAAATAGAAATAATAGTAATACAAACAAACTTGCGCCTGAGTAGCGACACACTGCTCTGTCAGAACATCGGGGTGCACTGGAGTAGATGAAGTATGTGAAACATCCTTAGCAGCCCTTGATGTTGTTTTCTTAAGTTTGTTGATTAGAATTCGAAAGAGTTTGTGTTTGAATTATCATTTTTTTCATATATTTTTGTCGCTAACAAATAATTAAATAATTAATTTTAATAACTACAAAGATACTACGCAAAAGGGCACTACATTTTACTACACTAAAGGGCACTACATTATAATTACGGGCACTGCATTAAAATTACGGGCACAACATAACACTACATGGAACTAAACAATATTAAAGTCACATATTAATATATATACAATAATAACATCTAAATAAGATTAATTATTCCTAAAATAATAATTTATCTATTTTACTAATCTTTTAGCACATAAATAATCTAATCCGGATAAAAAATAATAAAATAATTTAATCACAAAAAACCACGAAAATACATATATCACAGTAAAAAATAACTAATTACCATTTTTTATAACAACTAAAAATATTAATTATTCATAAAATAATAATTTCTCTATTTTACTAATTTTTTTTAGCACACTAATAATATAATCCGGATAAAAAATAATAAACTAATTAAATCGTAAAACAATTACGAAATAACATAGAACACAGTAAAAAATAACTAATAGGTATTTTTTATACATGAGTTTTAATAAAAAATAAGTCGGAATACCTCAATTTTAATTTTTTTGAAAGTTGAAGATTTGATGATTTGGAGCCGAAACGAGCAACCCACTACGCGATAACGCCTTAGATACGATAATAGCTTGGTACAATATCGAGAATCTATACTTTTTATGGGACCGATGAGCTCCAACTGAGTTTTTATTTCGTTAAAAATAATGTTGGAATAAGTTGTTCAAAGTTAGTTGTACATTAGCATATGAATTTCATCGAGAAAAAGCTTGTCAAAATAAAAGCAATTGTAAATTAGTAGTTCACTCAAGATAACATTTAAATCGCTTTTTCAATATTTCACTTTGAAGTTCAAATATTGTGCCTAAATTCAGTATAATACTCATTGTCAACGACAACAAGTAGTTTCTCACAAGTGGAGTTTGGGGAGAGTAAGATCTATGCAGCCTTACCCGTACCCCTGGAAGGGCAGAGAGGCTGTTGCCGATAGACCCTCGACTAGAAAAAATGTCTGAAAAAGAAAAGGTAATTGTAACAAGTAGGAATGACAACAAAATGAAATAAAATTAAATCCAAGAATGCAGTCAAACTCTAGGTATTAATAATCATTTATGGATAAAAGATATCATACTAGTACTAATGCTAGCGAACTGAGTAAGACAAAGAGAAACGCTCGACTACTTACGAACCTTCTACCATAATCCTTAACCTCCACACCCTCCTTTCTAGGGCCATGTCCTAAGTCAGTTCGAGTTGCGCATGTCCCGCATAATAGGCCTACTTTGATAATACTCATTGACAAAGTGATTAAAATAATAAAATGATATTTCATGATAACAGGGTTTAAACAAATATAAAATATTTCAACCAAGAAGCTAAAATAACAATGAAAAATGAGTCAAACGTTCAGCTTACTCGATAAATCCCCTACACCTGAGATGAAGGGTTTAAATATCATTTGTAGTATAGCATTCCCTTCTTTTTAATGTGATATAAAAGTATTTTTTTCTTCTTAATAACAGTACAAAAATAATGGAGTAGTAAATAGTAAAATATATGCTTTTCACATCAGAAGTCATTTTCATTTTATACAAAAAAGAAAAATTAAAGCAGAGAAAAACAGAATTGACATCATCCAGATTTAATTTAACTACTCCTTCCGCCCTTTTCCTCT